GCAGGGTTGGGTGGCGAGTGAGCCTGGGGAGCGAGACGCCCTAAGATAAACAACCCCAAGATAGCGGGGTTCAGTGCGCGCCCCTCTTTCCACAGCGCTTCGCCCGATCTTCATTACTCAGTGGACACCACTCAATGGGGAAGTTGCTATTACCTGACTTTGAACGCTCCCTTTTCTGTCTAGTTGCTCCAGCAATTCCTTTAGCATATGTAGCACAATCTCGAATAACTATGAAACAGAATATGCGTAAACGTGACCTGAACATGAAACCCTCTTCCTCAAGGGAACAACAATGAAACGTGAAGCATCGAAAAAAGCGGATGGATAATGTAGACTTACAAATGGTCCACTATGATACTCTTGGATCACTTGATAAGATAAAAAAATCTCTTAACAGCCGGCGTGACTGACGAGTTTATAACATAGGGTCGCCTGCCTTGTCCCAAAGTGGCCTTTCCAGAACAACCTGCTCTCCATTCACAGTTCGAGGAGCTAATGAATGACTGCACTGTATGCGGTAGTGAGCGAGTAAAGTGCAACACTGGTAGCCAGGCACCAGCTGAGAGGAAAGGGAAGAGAGGGTGACTAATGTCATTTTCTTAAATGTCCGTCCTGGCGTTGCCACCCTATTGTTCACATTGTGGGTGGCTGAAGGTTAATGCAAAGCCCTGCAAGTAATTTACACTTTTATTAGACAGATATCTGAAGGAGTATTTCCCAAATCAATGGCTGTGATGTGTTTAAAAAAAGGAGGTCCTTCGGGTATTTACATGTGATGGAAATGAGAACCATTGTGGGGAATGGCATTACATATATTGAAACTTTTCTGCACTTTAACACACACACACACACACATACACACACACACACACACACACACACACACACACACACACACACACACACACACACACACACACACACACACACACACACATACACACATACACCGGAACTACTATCGCGGACAAGATCTCGAAATGGAGAAGGAGAACACGGGCAGGATGACGTGCTCTGTTATTATCTTATCGTGCCTCACCCCCCCCCCCCCCCCCCGCGCCTGTCACGATATCACATTTGCCAAATAACTAAGTGAATGGTGGGTGGGGGAACTGAATAACTGTAAAGAACAAAAGAAATTTAAGATAAGTGCATATAACATATATATATATATATATATATATATATATATATATATATATATATATATAATATACATGCGTACACACACACACACACACACACACACACACACACACACACACACACACACACACACACACTCACTCACACACACACACACACACACACACACACACATACACAAACACACACACACACACACACGGAGAGAGATTTGATTTGATTTGATAACATTTATTTACAGAACAGTGTACATGCCCTGCAAAAAGGCAGGGTAAGATACCAAAGCATCTATCCAAGCTGGCTGTGCTTCTATTTGTGTAGAGGGCCATTGGTCAAACATTAGTGTTACATACATGCCTGAAGGGCTGTTCTATTATCACAATATTAAAATATCATCTGACTGGTAAAAAACCTTATACACCACTAATCATGTCAAAGACAAGATCAGTGTCTATAATAAAGTTAATATAATCAACAAGCGCTATTCTGTGAACAGTACTATTTGATCGATAGGATGCAGTCTTTTTGCAGCAGAGTAAGTAATGAGTGAGATTATGTGACTTGGGTTCCTTGCGCAGTTTGCAATGGTGATATGAAACAGGTTTTGCATCCAAAACTGCATCCTGTACATATTGTATAGTGTACTGATATCCTATCCGTAGCCTAGTTAATGTAACCTGTTGTCTCCGAGACAGTCCGTGATAGACTTTATAGGGCTTGTCTAAATTTGATGTCCCAACAACACTCTCGTAGTGCCAGATAGTACCATGTCCGTCTTTTTCAATTTTTCATTGGTCCATACCTGATCCTCATAATCTCTAAGACAGTTGATAACTCGTTTTTTTCATTTGACTGAGAGATAGCGGTATTACATATTATGGATCTTCATGGGAAAGTGCTAACCTGGCTAATTGATCAGCCCTGTCACATAGTGATATTCCTATATGAGGGTATCCAGTATAGTGACACTTGGGTACCTCGTTCTGATAATTTAGAAATTTGGTGAAGGATATTCTTAGTTACCATGTTTTCTGGAGTAAATGCAGTAACCCTGTTAAGAGCGCCTTGGCTGTCTGTAAAGACATCCAGGTTTCGCTGCTGTTCACTACCTTTCTTAATGGCATGATATATAGCTACTGACTCGGCATCAGTTGTGCTTGCCCAGTTGGAGATGCACTCACTTTCTTCAGGTCTATATCAGGAATTAGCACACCAATCCCTGTTGCCCCATGAGGACCAGTGGAGGCATCACAGTAGATTGCAAGTGGGGGTGTACCATGAGGGGGATGTAGAATGCCATCTATATATTCCAAGTAGTGAGCTTTTAGTTCCGTTTTTGAAGCCATAGATTTAGACCCTATTAGTATATCAATATGAGCACGTACATGAGTTCTGTGCCAAGGAGCAGTAAGTACTGTATCTGGAATATTAATAGCTTCGTTGTTCCATACATTGAAGAACAAGATAGTATGAGCAGTTTTAGTTTTCCATTCTAAGTTGGACTGTATGAGATTGGAGTATCGAGGCCGGGCATGCCTGACTCTATAATTTATCTCATTTGATAGGATACTGGAGATTTGTGGTCTGGGTTGAAGCTGCAGGAACCTGATGCCAAGTATGGTGTTAACTTGGATGACACGACTGTGAATAGAAGGGAGGTCTAACTTTTTCCTCATGACGAGAACTTGCATAGTCTATCATGGACCTAACAAGGGAGATATACATCAACCTTAGGACTCTCAGGGAGGCACCTACATATCTGTTACTAATGTACTGCAATGGTCTTAAACGCTCAAGGCAACGTTCCTTGATGTTTTGAACAATATTCTTAGCAAAGCGTGAGTTATGGGACATGAGGTGGGGAGCAGCCACCATAACACCAAGATATTTGTAAGTGTCAGCTCTTGCAATAGTTTGTCCACCTAACCTTGGAATGTAAGGTAATCTACGTGATTTGGAAATATGCTTAGTTTTGATTGGGTTGATTATGAGACCAACGGAGGCACACTTTTTGCTGAACCTCTGGAGAACGTAATCCCCCCTATCAAACACCTGAATAAGAATGTCATCAGCATAGGATGTGATGCTGCATAGGTTTCCAAACTCATCATTGAGCTTGCAAAGAGAGTGCATAAGTATATTAAACAGTGTTGGGAACAACACTCCCCCTTGTGGAGTGCCTAATTCAAATTCGCCATAAGCACTATAGATGCCTTGATACCACAATTTTGCTCTTCTCAAAGATAGATAATCCTTTATCCATAGCAGAAGCTTGCCCTTAACTCCTAAAAGAGTTAGTTCATGGAGGATTGCAGTAGGGGAGGCTCTGTCGAATGCTCCCTTAAAGTCTATGAAGTAAGAAGACTGTGCATTACGTCCATTTAGGTACTGTGCTAGACACATTTATGTTCCTCTCCCTTTTTGAAAGCCAAAGACAGTTGGATGGATCATGTCTTTGATCTGATGGAGTAAACGAGTGAGGAGAATTCTTTCACAGGTTTTTGGCAGGCAGGACGTCAGAGAAATTGGTCTATATTCATCAGGCCGTCCTGGTTTTGGAATGGGAATGATGGTTGCCCTGTTTCCAAGAGGTAGGCAAGATGCCTGTCATGTAGGTTTAAGTTGAAGAGATCAAGAAGAGGATTTCTTCCCTTTACCTGTACTTTTGCAAGAAGTCAGATGATGTCATAAGTGATTCCATCATCCCCAGGTGCGGTGGATTTGCTAGTCTTAATGGCTGCAAGGAGTTCCTCCCTTGTAAATGGTGCATCGGCCTCATCTAAGAGGTGGCACAGGTAGTCAATTTCCTTTTTATGGCTTAATTTAAGGGAACACCTACGTATGGATAATGGAAGGCTATCAAGAGAAGAATCCTCACACCATTTATTGAGGAGAGATGAGGCTACCCTTTTTGGATGTGGGTGGGGTGTTATACTGCATGGATTGCCTTTGATCTTGCTAATTTCCTTCCATACATTACTCATGGTTGTCATGGTGTCAATTGATTCTGCCCAGGCATAGAATTTTCCTTCCCTCTTTCGTGTTATTATCTCATTGATCTCTTTACTGAAAAACACAAGATCTTTAGCTAAGTACAGGTTTTTCCCCAAGTGTCGTAGCTGGCTTACTGTAGATCGTATGAGTCTCCTAAGAAGTTTTATCTCAGGGTCTTTGTTTAGTTGTTGTGCATGTCTAACTCTGGAGGATAGAGATCTGTGACTGGCAGAGCTTTTGGGCTGTATTTGAGTAATGATATTGCCAACTTGCTGACAGAGGGTTTCATTAAAGTGATCCAGGCAATTCTTTCAATGAATTCATTGTGAAATTTAGTAGCAAGGTGGTATCGAAGGCGTGGCTGGGGTGGGGTTCTTTTGCAAAAAGGGAGGGTTATACTTAATGCCCAGTGATCACTAACTAAGAATGGGATGACTTCTGCAGTACTTGGTAGCGTGTGCTGATTGTATAGATCTATATAGTCCAATTTCCCTCCCACATAATGAGTTTTTTCGAGGGGACATAATAAGTGTATGGGATCACTAGTATTTTGGAGATAGTCATAATAAGCCTTACCGTTTTTGCCAATGGTACTTCCCTCGGAGCCTAGGAGAGGATGGCGAGCATTAAGAGAGTCGGTATGTATCATGCAGTCAGGAGGTTTAGGTACCACCTCACTATCATGTGGATTATATACATTAATGATGGTGATAGATTTATCGTCTAGAAATATTTTAATACTAAGATATTCAACACAGGAGTTGTCACGATTGCCATCAATCACTTTCGATGGAATTGAGTTTATGTAAATGCCAAGCCCTCTAGTAGAGGGGTTAGCAATATTTGGTCTGTCATAATAT